GATGGGTGACCGCCTGGGAATACCGAGTGTCGTAACCTTTTTATTCTATTTTTCACTCAACTCACAATATAATTGTGCTATTTAATCATCGAGCTTATGTCTAGGAAATTGCTTTTTCGAAAATATTTTTCTTGATATTTATAAAGAAAAAATTATAGGGAAATGAACTCGTCTCAATTTTATATAAATTACATATTTTCATATCTTCTTAATAAATAGATATCATGATAAGATTTCATTGTTATACAATTGTAATATTTTTCAATCTTCTTTTTTCTGATATAGATTATTCATTTTTGATTACAGTAAGTTCTACGTACATGGATAAAATATCTACATAAACGATTTTGAATTGTTTGAAGTAGTTCTTTCGTTTTTATTAAGCTTTATATTTCATTTTATAGAACACTTGTCAAAACAAATATGACACAAAGACAACAAAAATACTTTGCATGCATTACATAAACATTGGTGCTTTTTGTTACAACAAATTTTTATCGAACACTTGAAGTGTATATACATCCTATAGGATCTTACATCATTTCTTGACATTGAATGATTCAAGAATATATACTAACAGCATTTCATCATTTTTTTTATTTTACATTATTTCTATTATCGTTATAACATATAGTCCTATATTGTAGGTACAGAGACGAGCGCCATCTCACATAATGATGTCGTTGGATAGAAAATGTCAAATAATAAAATTTTGTCCGCTAACTGATTGACTGAGTGATTGACTGTACTTGTACTTTGATTCCTATACCGCCCATGCTCATTTCTCAGCCATTTCAATATTTCTAATACATATGACTAAAAAAACAACTGCTAATTTATAAATATTTCATTAACAACAAAATAACAATTTCTTATTCTAGACAAATTACTATGTCCGGTAGTATTATACGTGAAAAACCTGCATCATTTGGATCGATACGTCAAAATAATGCAACTAGTAAGTAAAAAATTAAATAAAACTATTAAATATTTCTTATTTTTTTGTTTATTCAGATGGTGGCAATTCACCATTGAAATTATTTACACATGCAAAAATAACGATAACTGATATTTTTAAAAATATTTCATCGTATGTTAATGATTCTAATATTTATATGACTGGTTTGTTGTCTTATTGTTATATGTATACAAAAAACCTTGTTTTGTTTTGTTTTTATATTTCTATAGATGTGATAAAATCTGATAGAAATTTAATTACTACAGATAAATATAAAGATATACAACAATTGAAAGAAAAAGTAAATCGAATACTATCAATTATATCACGTGATCATATGAAAGTTGTCTTTTTCGGAAGGTTATTTGATTAGATTTGATTATTTTCAAATGCTGACTGTTTTCTTACTTTTTATTTTTCAAGGACAAGTAATGGAAAAAGTACAGTTATGAATGCAATGTTACGAGAAAGAATATTACCAGTTGGTATGGGACATACAACAAATTGTTTCCTTCAAGTAGACTGAAAATATATGTATTCAATTAAAGAAATAAATTGTTTTTCTTTAGATTGAAGGAACCGATAGAATAGAAGCATCGATTCTCATACCAGGATCAGATGAACCAAAAAGTGTTAATGTAAGAAAAATGAATATGTATATGCATATATAATTAATTATTATTTTAGAATTTAAGCAGTATTAGTAATGCTTTATCAAATGAAAAAGTTGATTCAGATTCTCTTGTTAAAATTCTATGGCCAAAAGAAAAATGTCGATTAATACGAGATGATGTTGTACTTGTTGACAGGTAATTTTAACGAAATGTTTCCTTTCTATCATCTTGTTTCTCGAAGTCGTAAATAATATGATTGTTATTTTAGTCCTGGTATTGATGTTTCAGCTAATCTAGATCAATGGATTGAAAAATATTGTCTAGATGCTGATGTATTTGTACTTGTTGTATCAGCTGAAGCAACAATTACAGTAGCTGTAAGTTTCAATATAATAAATTTTTTATTTAACTAAAAATATTTTATTAGGAAAAAAAATTTTTACATAATGTTGCACAACGTTTATCAAATCCTAATATATTTATTTTAATGAATCGGTGGGATGCAACTGCTAATGAACCAGAAATGGTTGAATCAGTAAATGAATATTTATCTGTATTTTTTGACAAAAATAAAAAATATTTGTTTTTAATTATTGTTTTAGGTTAAACAACAACATCTTGAACGAGGTTTAGAATTTTTATGTGATGAATTGCATTTATGTGATCGAAAAGAAGCAACAGAAAATCGAATGTTTTTTATTTCCGCACGTGAAGCTTTATTAAATCGAAATACAGATCCAACTACTTCACCAAGAAGTGGTTATAATGAAGGTTTATTTCATTTAATTTTCCATAAAAAATATATAGATTGCATTGTTTTTTTCTTTAGGATATAAAGAACGTCTTGTTGAATTTAGTAAATTTGAACATGAATTTGAAAAATGTATATCAAAAACAGCTGTACAAACTAAATTTGAACAACATACAAATCGGGGAAAAGAAATTATTACATTATTATGTGAAACAATAGTTAATATGATTAATAAATCACAAACAATAAAACAAGAATGTCAAGAAAAATTAGTTGAAATGGAAGAAAAAAATATTTTTCTTGAACATGAATTACGTTCAATGACAGATTCAGCTAAAGAAAGAATTCGACATGTATCTGAAGATGTTTATAAACGAGTAGCACAAACTTTAAATGATGAAATTAAACGGTAAGATTTATCATACATCAATATAAAATCAACTGTTTTCAGTTACGGGAAAAAATCTTTTTATCGATTTACTTAATGAACGAACAAACCTATATGACATAACGTAGATAGGGGTGCAGCGGTGGCAGTCACCGGCCTAAGACGAAAAACGGTAGAGGTCGGCAACTGCTTTTATTTTGTGATAATTTGATAATTCACGTAACCATAAAGCGATGCTGACATGTTGGTCAGTAATTGGAGAAGCTAGTAATATCATTTGCTTGAATGTTAATAAGAATAAGGAATATCACTATATAGGCATCAATATTCATGTTCTTATATCGTATTACTGTTACGCATCCATAAGTAATCGATTCTATGACGATTACTGATTCACATCGGTTTTCGTTTAATCGGTTTTTCTATTGGACCGGTTATTGCTTTAGAACGGTTAACTGTACACAGTCAAACGGTGAAAAACCGTAACCGTTGCATCCCTAAACGTAGATATGATAATGTATTTAAGAATAGAATTAAATGACCTGGATTTTTCGAGGCTTTCTTCAATCTCTAAATTACGCATTTATAAACAAAAATTCAAGTTTAGAAGCAATTTAACACTTGAAATAATTCCACTATAGGCATGCATTTCAATAGAATAAACTATTTAATTTTGAATCTTTAGTCTTTATACATTAATTGAAGAATTTGATCGTCCATTTACATCTGAACGTAATCAAATACCACTTTATAAACAAGATTTACATCGTTGGGTTGAAGAACGTCTTGGTTCAAATTTACAAAATCGTCTTCATACAGCATTACATAATTCATTAGATACTGTTCATAAAGAAATTAAAGAACGTGTTAAAACTGTTTTAACAACTAATGAACGTCGATCTGATGTTGATTCCATTGTACCACGTTCAAATTTTACTATTTCATATCGTTTAGATTGTTCAAATCTATGTTCAGATTTTCATGAAGATATTCAATTTAAATTTTCATTAGGTTTAACGTCATTATGGGAACGTTTTATGCAAAATGAAAAACAACCCAAATATACATCATCATCATTTCTTAATTCTTCAAATGATTTACTTACAACAGCAAATAATCTTACAGAATTAACATCAACATCAAGTTTTCTTGCATTAGGTGCTAGTGCATTAATATGGCGTACTGTTGGATGGAAAATGCTTGGTATTGTTGCTGGTATTTATGGAAGTTTTTATTTATATGAAAAATTAATGTGGACAAAAGCAGCTCAAGAACGTGCATTTAAACGTCAATATGCTGATTATGCATCATCAAAAATGAAATTAATTGTTGATTTAACATCTGGTAATGCAAGTGCACAAGTACAACAAGAATTATCAATGTATTTTGCTCAGACAGTACGTTATGTTGCTATAGAAAAAGATGATATTATAGATAATATACAAGATTTAAAAATTGAAATGCATCAATTAAAATCTTATATCGATAAAGGAAAAAAAATACAAAAACAAGGAGATAAAATCAATAATGAATTAAATCAATTTACAAAACAATATTTAATCACAGATTAAATAAATTAATCAATTATTTAGGTTACATTTTCTTCATTTCAATGTTGTTGTTGTTGTTTTTTATATTTTTTTCCACGTGCGTGTGTGTGTATGTAGTCTCTTTTTTTTTCAAGCAATAAATGACTGACTTGAAATGATGCTATAAATACATATAGCTATGTATGAGCAAATAAATAACGTTTGTTCTTATTCCATTTACAAGAGTCATGAATAACTATTGACATATTGTTTCAACGGCGATGTGTCATATATTTTATGACTCATCAAATTTCACCATCGATAAAAACAGCAAGGGAAGAGGCGTGTTTTTCTTCCTCACATCGTCATAACCTGCTTTTACTTGGTAGGTAAAAACGACATTCAGACGATAAAATATTTCTGTTTTTTCTTGCAACTTTTATTAAACTTCTTTTTTTTTTCGCAGATTTCTTTTGAGAAAAAAACTTAGATCATGGATTTTGGATCGAAATATATTTATAAATATGAACATTCATCGGATGAATCAGTTTCGGATGATGATGAAATAGAAGCAGCTAATGCTATACCTACGGGATTTGCCCAATTACGTTCCCGACGGTAAATATTATTGAAAAAAAATTAACAAAAACACCATTGTTCTAATTTGTAGCGAAGATGAACGAAGAGAAACATCAATTGTTCCTAGCGGTGCTTCATCTCATAATCAGAAACAACGGAAACGTTTACGAAAAGCTGATACTAATGTACTTAGTATTAAATTCAATCGATTACTTCAACCAGGTAAATAAAAATATATTCTTCGTTTTTTTTCTGTATAATATTAATCAAATTTACATTAAAATAATTAGATGATATGCATGCTGGTGACCCAGTTTATTGTACAGAATGTGGTGCAATTACTTCTCATTTAAGTAAAATTCAAAATGCAGATGGAGAAGATTCGAAATGGCAATGTGAATTTTGTTCTAAATTAAATACAGTTGATATTGAACAAACTGATTTACCTAAAAAAGAAGATGCAACATATTTAGTTTCACCAGCACCTGTCGTTCATGGTTCAGATATGACTGGTGTTGATGATTCAATTGTGATATTTTTAATTGATACCAGTGGTTCGATGTCATCAACAACATTAGTAAAAGGTACATTTCAATTACCCAATGCATTACAACAACAAGAACGTGCTGCTGCTAATTTTGATGGTGAACGATTAGTTCGAAATAAACGTGAAACATATGTTACACGTTTACAAGGTGTACAAATGGCTGTTGATGCTAATTTAGATAAACTTGTTAAAGATACACCAACACGACGTGCTGCTCTATTAACATTTAATCATGAACTTACTTATTATGGTTAGTTTTATAATTTATTTTATTAATATATTTTATTTTTTGAATAAATTCTAGGTGATGGTACACGAACTGAACCATTAGTTATACGTGGAGATAAATTAAATAGTGCCGATGATTTATTACGTGAATCTGAACGTGAACAAAATAATGAATTAAAACCTGTTTCACAAACAAAAGCAAATTTAACTGAACGTATTTATGATCTTGAAGAAGGTGGACAAACAGCACTTGGTCCAGCTGTTATGTTTGCTCTTCATATTGCATCAAAACGACAAGGATCAAAAATTGTGATTTGTACTGATGGTAAAACAATTGATTTGTTAATATTAATCTATTAAAGAAATGTATTGAATTGTTTAGGTTTAGCTAATCGAGGTTTGGGTAATTTAGAAATGGCTCAAGATGATAAAGTTGATGAAGCTGTTAAAATGCAAGCACTTGCTGATGGAAATCATTTTTATGCTGAATGTAATATTTCTTTAGTCTTTTTTTTAATTCCTATATTATATTTCTTCTGTTTAGTAACTGAACGTGCCAGAGAAAAAGGTGTCAGTATTTCTGTTATTACTATTAAAGGTACTACTTGTTTACTTCCTGTTATTGGCCAAATGGTAGGATAATCTTTATATTTTGTTTTTTTTCTATTGCATTAATTATATTTAATTTTCTCATTCTATAGGCAGATGGTACAAGTGGCAATGTAACTATAGTTGATTTATTAAATATTCGTGATGAATTTGCTTCTATACTTGAACAACAAGTCATAGCTAGTAATGTTGAAGCAACATTAATTGTTCATCGAGGTTTATATATACGTAATCCTGATAATCCAGATGATAAACTTGAAAAAATAAAACGTGAAATTGGTAATGTAACTAAACAAACAGAAGTATCATTTGAATTTGGTATTCGAAATAAACAAGGTTTGTTTATTTGAATAAAATATAACGAATAATAATTTTGAATTATTATTTAGAATTAAAAGATAAATGGAATATTGACTTAGATCAATTACAACAATTACCATTTCAAGTACAAGTTATTTATACAGCTACTGATGGTAGTAAAGCATTACGTGTGTTAACTCAATTGAAAGAAGCAACAGAAAATCGAGAAATAGCTGAAGTAAATGCTTTCCGTGGTGTTATTGCAGAAAATCATATTCGAAGTACAGCTACTGAAATGATGTAAGTTGTTTTTAAAAATGAATATTAATTTTTTATTTTGTTTAAATTTCAGGGTTGATTATAGTGATGATGAGCAAGAGGAAGAAGGTGCATCACATGTACGTTCGAAATGGTCAAAACCTATCGTACAAAAACAACGTATGGCCTATATGAGTAATCTTAATCAAAAAAAACAAGCGAATAGACATTATGAAGCTGATGATTTTAATGAAAGGTTGGAAATTCTTTTTTATTGTTTATAATAATTCTATTTCTTGATTTTTGTTAGTCGTTGGAATAAAGCAAGTAATGAATTACAATCACATGTTATTACATCAAAATCTCGTAAACCGATTTCATCTTCGGTAGCATCAAATCAAAGTTCGTCTATAATGAGTCGAGTATCACGTTTATTTTCTAATCAATCAACAGCAGAAAGTGGAGCTAGTGCTTCTGCTGCCTTACCACCACCACCACCAGCATCAAAAGCCAAACGAAACTATGGTTTTGCAACATCAAAATTGGCACAGTACGATGATAAAAATTCCGAAGATCTTTATCGATTTAAAAATTTATCATCAAGTTATATGCGTGAATCTAGTCCACCACGTGATGAAGATAAACCTACTGGTGCATCAAATACTGGTGCATTTTATGTTGAAGAACCAGATAGTGATGAAGAAAGAAAATCTTCTAAAAATCAACCACGAACAAAAAAAATGAACAATTTATATACAAATTTTTCACTATATAAATTCTGTGTTTTTAATTTTTAATATTTTATTCGAGAAATAAATTAATATTCGTTTCTAGTAAACGTCAAGTAATAGTTCAACTTTAATTCTAATTGATTAATCTTAAGATGTGAGATTATTTAAAAATCTTCTATAAGCACATCGTTTATGTTCTTATAAAATGTATTGACTTTTATTATACTCCACTTCTGTTATTTATAACCTATCCATGTCATGATATGCAATGGAATCATGCGTCAGATCTATGTGATTTTGTTACTTGCTCTCACATGATTCTATCTCGATTTATTAAATGCATACATATGCAACTATTTCATCAAGAAAATATCCATATCAATGTTATTCAATCTGTAATTTGATTTCGTTCACAATCTAACTATGTTTGTTTCTAATTTTACTATATATACAACTTAAAACATTGTACATTTATCCAGTTTTATGTTTAGTTTATATCATATTCTATATGTTAGATTTTGAAAAATTTTAAATTATGATCACATCATATGTAAAGTTCGGTATGATTTATTCGTGCAGTAGAACATATTCAAAAAAACATTTTATCGATGCTTTGAGAATGTGGATATTGGTGTAATCATGATTATAAGTCTTATTCTCATTCATATGCACAATCTCGGTATGTTTCAGACATAGTTTTGTATTTGAAGATAGTTTTGTTGGGTTCTATTTTAGAACATTAATAGTCGTTTAAAAATATGCATTTTTAAACTGTATCTGTGAAAACTTTCTCTGATATTAGATAATAAATTAAGATAAATTAACAAATTATGACTTTTGATCTTACTGAAAGCAAAAGCATTAAACATATTATTGAACTTGATCCAAATATGTATTAATAACATTTCTTAGTAATGGTTTCATTTGAATGAATATTTCACTGATTGTACATTTAATAAAAAAAAGAATTAATCAAGTAGTTTAATTCTTTACTCTTTGTTGTGTCATAAGAATCAATACTAATACATTTATAATAAAACGACAGATTTGCATGAAGATAATCAATGACTTTTGGATATTATCCTTATAAAGTCAGGAGAAATTATTAGGTATGAATATATACTATTCTCCTTGCTAACGCATAAAAAAACACGAACGTGTGACATTTATTATAAAGTTAGAAAATGTCTAAGAAGACTTTTAATAATGAACAAAAAAAAAAGAAAATATAGAATTGTTTAGGTGTCTGACTTCTGTATAGTATAACTATTCTATTTATCAGAATAGAAAAATAGCAGCAACGTTTTCCCAAGTAACACAACAAATGTGTTTTGAAAGTCTAAAACTAGCATTCATTGCATGTGGAATATTGGTTATAGTATCTGGGTTATATATTACGGCAAATGCTTTACCTAGATGGTTTGTTAACTTTTCTTTTGATTCTATATTAAGAAACTAAAATTTCATTACAATTAAGTGAGGGAATGGTTATCAAAAATGATGTCTAGGTCGGATGTTCCTTATTAACGGTTATGTCCTTGTGCTTCTTTTATCACCATACAATTCTGATTTCGATAAGATATTGAAATAAAAAGGAAATCAATCAGTAAATTACATTTTTGAGAGTTTTCCTAAATATTTATTCACATAGAAAAATGTATATATATTTCTCTACAGTTGAAAGAAGAAATGTTTCTAGAGAGTGATTTATAGAATTTATCATTTATGTTTTCTTGAATTATTTTATGAAATTCTTTTCTAACTTATTATCTATTGACTAAGAAAACATTATTGATGAGGTAACCTTCTCTTTTAGGGCGACGAGATCTGATGGGTCAGGCACAGCTACGTTCGGTTTGTGGAAAATATGTGAAACAAATAAAGATATCTCAATATGTGACAATTTCCCATACAGCGTGGATTTTACAACTATGGCTGCACGGATATTCATTATAATATGTTGCATTTTAGCTCCATTATCGGTCATATCAATATTAACGAATATATTCGTGAATGAAAAACTAAAGAAGCGTATATATCTATTACCTAAAATTCTTGCCACAGCAAGTTTTATTAACGGAATTATTGCTGTTCGTCTTGGAATTGGTATGGCTGAAGATGTTATTAAGATTCGGAATGCTGTCATAGGTGAATCATGTATTCTGGCTATTGTCGCACTGGTATTAAATTTAGTCGGCGCTGTTATCACCTGTTTCATGGCTTGAAAAACGCTTCTCTTTGTTTAATTATGAAAAAATAAATTTTGATTTCAAAATATGTGTTTTTAGATTCTATCGACGAAAACTTTCTCTGATATTAGATAAGAAGTAAAAATAAATTAACAAACTATGACTTTTGATCGTTCTGAAAGCAAAAATATCAAGCATATTTATATTTATATTTATTTGGACAAACTCAAATCACTTCGTTTCTTCTTAAGAGAAAATTCTACGAGGATCTTTTTTTCTACTTTTACAGTAAAAAGTCAGAGAAACTTCTACATCTGTTCTTTATCTGATTTCAATTTGATTATAATAAAATTAAGATATTGTTGTACTATAATTGTTTTGAAATCATCAAATTCTTCGTCCTCATTCATACAAAACTCAATATAAAATAATTCCTTTGACAAAGTTTTGTTTCTACATCTTATATAAGGTGAAATAATAGTCTTTTATACGTGTTTAGTGTTAGCTGATCCTAGATAT